CAAGAACAGTTGCTTTGCATGGATTCACCCCTGAATGAGGACAAACCTCTCTAAGGACAAACCTTTTATTTCCACAAGAACATTTCTTGCATGGAATTCAAACAACCCCTGAACTGAGACACCTCTCTAAGGACACCTTTTATTTCCCCAAGAACCAGTTTTTGCATGGAAGTCAACCCTGAAATGATGACACCCTCGAAGACACCAAAAACCTTTTATTTCCACAATAACAGTTTCGTCTCAACCCATGAAATGAGGACGACCTCTCTAAGAAAGGGGCACTATCTCCTACCCTTCTTCTGCACTGTGCCTGGATTAGAAAGGTTACCTTATATAGCTATTATTTGACCACGCAATTACCCAAGCATTAATTTGACAAAGTAACAAAACTAAAGATCATTTCAACTCACCTTCCTAATTTCCGAGCAATTGTTGCGTTTGATTTGACCCACCACTGTCACATTTCAATGAATTTTTCCAAGGTTACCAGAGAAACAGGACGGAAGAAGATTTACTAATAGATGGAACTGAGAAAATTCCTGTGGCAATCCCTCAAAGTTGATAGGAAGTAGATGATTATAGCAAGGGGAATGAAGGAGGACAGACGACTGACGAAATTACATAAGTTTAAACTGAAGCCATTGTTTCATGTAGAGACAAGTAAGTGGGGTGGAATGGCACCTGTTCGCTGCATTCACTGAATGAACCTTTGGAGGGTCGGGAGAGAGAGGGGAGGGAAGATAGATTGTGAGAGAGAGGGAGGAGAAGAAAGGGAGGAGAGAGAGTGGGTAAAAAATAGTGAGAGAGAGGGAGATATAGGGAGAGATAGGGAGATATACTAGAGAGATATGGAGAGAAAGAAGTTAGAGATAGGGAGAATAGTAGGATATCGAGAGCGCGGGGGGGCTCTAGATAGGGATGGCGGAGCTAGGGATAGAGCGGCCTCGCTCTGCTGGCGCGCCGAGGGCTATTAGCTATATAAGGTTTTGGGGTCGACATCGCGCCTCGGCGTGTCGGCGCCTCTTTCTCGTCGTCGCTCTGCCCTTGCGCTTCCCGGGCGCGCTTCTGGCCGCTCTCGCTCGCGCTTGTGTGTTTTTTTTTGGGGTTTGTTGTTTTGGGGGGGTGGGTGTTGGTGTGTGGTGTTCCCCGTGGGGGTGGGGGTTTGGGTTTGTTGCTTTGTGGTGGGGGTGTGGGTTGTTGTGGGTGGGGTTACAAGAGGGCCACAGAGAAGCAAACACATGACCCCGAGAAACGATTGGATCAGTAAAACTGGTAATTTTATTGGTGGCATTGTGTGGAAGACGTCCTTCTAAAACCATTTGGTTTTAGGAAGAAAGGGGGCGCATTTAGCAGGAGATTGTAAACAGGTATCCATAGCTACACAGGTGTTGTATACGTCCATTATTATTAAAACATATTAGGGGAAGTATATGCAACCTACATGTATCTCCATAAGAGGAGTATAAAGAGTACTCCTCCAGGTATAGATTGAGTCAGACTGCTCTAATTACTTCTAATTTACAACGCCCACCTTTTCCCCTGAACCATGCTATATGGCTGCTTGTATATAACAGTGGGGCTCTCTCTCTCTCTAAGGACATTCAATTCCTATTATTATTATCATAGTGTGAGGGTTTAAAAATGTGGCTTCCCTCTACTGACTTATCACTAAGTAGTTTGGTAGTACTTCGTATATAGGGATGACACATCCTGCATTATGCCCATACATTTGAGATTTGAATCTATTTTTCACTTTTATTACAGCAATGGTCTCCCTCCCTCCCTCCCTCCCTCCCTCCCTCCCTCCCTCCCTCTCTCCTCCTCCTCCCTCCTCCCTCCGCCCTCCCTCCCTCCCTCCCTCCCTCCCTCCCTCCCTCCCTCCCCCCTCCCTCTCTCTCTCTCCTCTCTTTCCTCTCTCTCCCTCTCTCTCCCTCCCTTCCCCTTCCCCTTCGCCGTTCCCTCCCTCCCTCCTCGTGCTCTCTCTTTCCTCTCTCTCCCTCTCTCTTCCCTCCCAGTCCCCTTCCTCCCTGAATGGCCCCTTCCCTCCCGATCCCTTCGTCTATTACTCTCCCTCCCACTCGCCCTCCCTACCCTGCCCATCCCTCCCTCCCTTCGCCTCCCTCCCTCCCGTCCCTATCCCCCCTCCCTACCCGTCCCTCCTCTCCTCCCAGGCAGAGTCTCCTCCTCCCCTCCCCATCCCTCCTCGAATCCCGCCCCTCCTAAAGCCCTGCCCATCCTGCTCCCTCCCCTCCCTCCCTCGACACCGCGTGACTGAATCCAAGCACCCTCCCCCTCCCTTCGCACCCCTCCCTCCCTCTCTCTCCCTCAAATATCGACATCACTAATCGCACAATCAGAAACGATAACTACATCTAAAGACCTATAAACACAAGAGTGTACAGTTACAACAACGAACACATCCCCATGCACATATTGTTGGGGAAATTAGAAAAGCAAACCCTTCAATTCAGGCGATTATTTCAGGTAAACTTGTCCGTTTTCACAGCAAATCGAAACGCAAACAGACGCAAGCTTTACGCTCTCCCTCTTGTGAACAAACAAAAGATCTGTCCCAAACTACGACAGTGGTTTTCATATGAAGACGTTAAAAAAACAAAAACCTTCTGATACACTCTCCCACCCTGCTGTTCCGCTACATAATATATAGTATTAGTGGTAGCAGGCTCTCTAATAAGGACACCTTTACTTCCCCAAGAACAGTTCTTGCATGCAATTCAACCCCTGAAATGAGGACAACTCTCGAATATAGACACTTTCTTCTGTCCCATACAAAGGTCTGCAACTTCTCCCTCCCCCCTCTCCCTCCCTCTCTCTCTCTCTCTCTCTCTCCTTCCTCTCCATGTTTAGCTAGCAATGGGCCCACAGGAAATGGTGGACAATGAAGAGTGGTGGCTGTTAGACAAACTACACTTGGCTGAGGTTAGTAGTCACTCCTACCACCCACTGGATTGGAGTGAGGTCAGCTACCTTCTGTACCCAACTCACACAAGGGGAAAAGAGCGGTTGACGCAAAACCTGACGTCAGCATTTGACGCAAAACCTGATCATAAAGATGTCAGCATTTGACGCAAAACCTGATCATAGAGACGTCAGCATTTGACGCAAAACCTGATCATAGAGACGTCAGCATTTGACGCAAAACCTGATCATAAAGACGTCAACATTTGACGCAAAACCTGATCATAAAGACGTCAGCATTTGACGCAAAACCTGATCATAAAGACGTCAGCATTTGACGCAAACCCTGATCCTAAAGACGTCAGCATTTGATGCAAAACCTGATCATAGAGACGTCAGCATTTGACGCAAACCCTGATCCTAAAGACGTCAGCATTTGACACAAAACCTGATCATAAAGACGTCAGCATTTGACGCAAACCCTGATCCTAAATACGTCACATCATCCTAAAGACCTCTCAACACCTCTCTACTAGTACATGATGCATACGAGGCCCCCTGCCTACCCAAGTCCGCAGACTACGGATACACGTGGCGTTGATTGTCCGTTCTGCAATCCGATTGGAGATCTCGTTGTCGAGAGGAACAAGAAACGTGTCAGTAGTTACCAGACTCCTTAGTACACAATACTGTATGACAATTGCATTACTACGAGATAAACGGGTTTAGTTCAGGAATAAAACTGGGTCACGAGACCACGAAACAAGCGTCACACTTTTTCGAAATTTCGAACCTCTTCAAGACTCACTGACCTACCAATCCAACCACATCCAACAAAACACACTTCTCTCTCTCTCTCTCTCCCTACTCCAATACATCATCACTAATACCGCCCCCCTTTTCTCTACACACACACACACACAGTATGTATCAATATGGAATAGCTACACAGCTACGAGGAGGTCATATGTACATAACCGCCTCCTCCTGTAGACACACACAGTTTTGATACCGCACGTTTTCTTGGAGTACGCAGCAAAACAAGAGAGGGAGAGAGAGGGGAGAGAAACCACCCTTTACTACTGAAGCGAGGTTTTAAACACACACAAACACTGCGTTGTGTATACTGTCGCTCGATTCTCTCTCTCGTCGGCCGTGCGTCAGTTGCTACTAGTCGATCATCCGGAACACCCATTTTTCCCGCAGTTAAAACATCCCTCGACCTCGATACTTGTGCAAACTTTGGATAGTGGTTATGCTAGGTAGCCCGAGCGTGTTGCCCACTTTTAAGCTACCTTCCCACTCCCTCTCTTCCCTCCCTCTTTCTCATTCTGCCCTCTCTCTGTATCTCTCTCCCTCCCTTCCTTCTCCCACTCCCTCCCTCTCTTCCCTCTCCCCCTCCCCCCTCCTTCACACCCTCTTCTTCACACATAAACACAACTCTTGTTCCAGTTCTTAAAACACCAATTATTTCCTGTTTTCACAACTGACAGCTACTTGGCAGTCCAATCATCCATAAAACCATAGATGTCCACATTCAAACAAACACTGTTGTTTACAATCTTGTATTAATTAGGAACACTTAGTTTGACAACAATCCCCCAAAGACAACTTTTCATTTCCTGTCACTTCAGGTTAATTAGCTAGTTCACTAACATAACCTTATATGGAAGACATGCACTAAACCACCTGACAACAGCAAATGTAGCGTAATCTTGAAGGGCAAAATTTGTGTCACAGGACATATCACCATGGAGACAGTGATGAAGTCACCACGGAAACAGGGTCACCTGACCACATGCACAAGGGCCCAGGGAATTCCTGATGCAGCCTGTGAGTCGGCACTGGGGCTTTGTGAGAGCAGAGGAAGAGGGAGGGAGGGAGGAAGGGAGGGAGGGCCTTCAGGTTGCAGTTTAGCCACAAGTGAAGACTTGCATCTGGTGATTATGCAGTGTCACCTGTGCTAATTGCATTCCAGCCACACTGAGCAATACTGCATGTGGAGTATGGGCCTATTTTAGGTAAAAGGTGGACGATTGAGTAATCTCGGTTGTTACGACACACTCTTCTCTTCTCTCACCTTCTTTCCACATTCTCTCTTCCTCCCTTCAAGGAATGACATCTTTACACCAAAAGCCCACACATACTTGTCTGTTAGCACAGAGCACTTATCTGTTAGCACAGAGAACTTGTCTCAAAATCACCCATCATCCAAATGAGCACAGTTGTAAAGTTATGGGGGGAATAGAAAATATTCTCTCTTCCAAGTAGTGTTGGGGGGTTATAGGGAGGTAGTAATATGAGGGAAATTAACACTTAACCAGCCACCAACACAAATGTGTTCAGAGCCTCCACAAGTCCATAAGAATTTATATGCGGGTTATAATACTAGGCGCTAATATCAATTTACGCATATTTAAGCAGATACGCACGGTGTCCAAAGGGTTAAAAATGGTATGGGGGTTTTCTCAGAGCGTTTTCCTCGCAAATGAAATCGAATGACTCGGAATTGAAACAAAAAAGCAATTACTACTTACTAGAAAAATCCACACTCACTCACACACACCGCTGGCCACATCACAAATTCATATTATATACTTCACTCCAACATTACATTACAACATGTTCAACATTTTACCATCTGCAGAAACTAAAAGCGAACTTTCCACACTCAAAATACCAGAATCCACAGAATATGTATATATGTGTGTGTGTGTGTATATATATATATATATATATATATATATGAGAAGGCAATTAGGCTAGGAACCCATCGTACAAATTAGCAAAGGAAGAAAAATACGAGAACTGCGAATATACTCAAATGGAGGAGTTCAAACAGCTACAAATAGGTAAGAAACGAAAATGAAATGCATTGCTTATTGGTGCTGACACAAGGCATACACACAGTATGATTATCTCATGTTGTATAGTACGTTTTGAGAAAAAGGACTTTTTTGGCAAGTTTCACCAATGACACAGCTTGTAGCTAGAGCATTTTGCAATAGTTTTGGCTGGATTCCTAACAGGTCATTAACAGCCATTGAACACTGAATCCCTCCAACCACACAGTGTGACCGACACTCTGCACACTTGTCACCTCCAGGCCAACCACCTGCACAAGCTCAAAGCAGTAGGTGATAACTGCATCATACACCAGACACCCAGGCAGCTGTCTGGGCCACTATCACCCAACATCACCTACTTCCCTTACACCAAACCCACATCAAAACAAGACACAAGTTACAAGATTTACACCAAGGCTTACATGAACTACAGCTAGTACTGCTGGCTACATCATGTATATACAGGGTCCATACTGCGTATTATAACTAAACCCTAGTACACACAGGACTATCTATAGGATCTGGTGGCAAATCTACAAGTTTGTACAGTTCAAAACCCAGTTGTTACAACCCCATCCGCTGTAGACCCTGGTTTGTACAGCAGCATATGCTGGGGCATCAGGTGAGATAAGAGAGTGAGCAGAAGAAGGCCTTGAAGGTTTAGAGATAATTATAGCTGTTATCTATCGTCCACTTATACATCTTAGGCATACATTGTCTATAATAGAGTAGGTGAACAACAGAGTAGGAGAGGGCAAGGTTAGCTGTGAGCTGAAGAGTCTACTTTGAGTGTTAATGAAATTAGCGATTCAAATTCTCTCTAGATTACACAGGCCTTCCTCCTATACACCTATACAGTGGAACCCCTTTCTCTTAGGACACCCTTGAAATGAGGACACCTCTCTAATAAGGACACCTTTTCTTTCCCCGGGCAATAGCTATTGTGTGTATTTTTAACTGCAGAAATAAGGACTAATACCATGGTTCCATTGGTTACCAGATTAGAGGCTTATAAATACTGGCACCAGAAGGATAAAGGTCAAAATCGCAGCACAGATTGTGTTCCCTCAACATAGTACCAGCTTCACCACAGGTATACCACAGTATATACACACATACACTGATGTACACACAGTACACACACGGTATAGAATGAAGCTGGGTCGCGTGGAGGAACATTCTATTGCACACAGTTGTAGAGATGCCGGGCAATAGAGACGTATGCCCGTTCTCAGCCGATTGTGTGCTAATCACGACGTCATTATTACATCACACAATTAATACTAATGCTATATCCATTCTCAGCTTAAAAAATTAATTTTTAATTAATCGACAATAAGGCTGTGTACATTCTCTCAGCTAATTATGATGCAATCATTACATCACTCAATTGATGCTACCGTATTTAGTAGCAGTAGAGAAGAGAAGAGAAGAGGGAGAGAGAGGAAGGGAACGAGGCAGAGAGATTAGTAGGGACGAGAGAGGGAGAGAGAGGAAGGGAACGAGGCAGAGAGATTAGTAGGGACGAGAGAGGGAGAGAGAGGAAGGGAACGAGGCAGAGAGATTAGTAGGGACGAGAGAGGGAGAGAGAGGAAGGGAACGAGGCAGAGAGATTAGTAGGGACGAGAGAGAGAGAGAGAAATACAAAACCACCACATCCCCATGTATAGGTATCCATTAGGTACAGTGACCTATTATCCCAACAAACACGGGAAGAGCACTATTCACACCGTGATAATGGAGATAAAGGAGTGCGGCATGGGAACGCGGCATTCAGCTCTGGATGAGAGAGAAATGAGGGGTATTATCAACAAAAGATGGGCAATTTGTACAATCCGATTGTGAGCATCGTCACGACAATACGAGTTCCCGGGAAAGGTACAAGGTACAATACAGTGGACAGAGGGTTATTATTATTATTATTACAAGGATATTTGGCCCACAAAGGGTTAATGAATAATTCAACGGAAGCAGGTTATGATCAATACGAGAAAGGTCACGGAGGTTAATATAAAACAAAGGGGTTAATTCATATTTTTGGCCAACAAAGGGTTTTAATGACAAATCTACTTGGCTGGATAAAAAGGGGCTTACAACAGGGGTTGCATGCACTACCCTAACACACACACACACACACACATAGTTAGTGTATGTCGTGTACTACAGAAGTACACAATAGCTTGTAAAATGCCTGTAAAACCTGTAGCAGCAGTCATGTACATTCTGTAGTGCCTTGTATTTGGGATACAGGAACTACAAGTTGTACACCATTATTGTAGCTAGCACATGAAGGTATTATGAAATTACTACTCTGGTTCCCAGACCCCGCCCTCCTCAGGCGAGGAAGAGTATCTAGTGACTACAGAGCCATTCCTCGATTTTGCTAAGTTTGGAGAGAGATTTCAGTATGCAATTTGCTGTGAAATGGAATATACACAGATATTACGCAACTACATATGATGCAGAAACAAAACTAACCATCCTGCGCACCGTTTACAAGCAACAATTTAGCACGGCCAAATACACTTCGCTAGTATTCATCAAAACCTTTCTTAGCCCGAGGGCGGAAAATGTGCATAGGACACTATAAACACACACACGCGCGCACACACACAGTAGCTGGTAGGCCTACATCGTCCAACGAGGTCTCTCCTGTAATTACGACACAGAAACTACATACTGAGTTGTGGAGTAAACAGAGGGTTAACACTATTTACATGAAAGACTTACAGATCCAACAGCAGTTTTGCAAGACTGTCCGTCACTAAAACAAGGTCTGCAACATGCAGCTAACATGTCAGCTTGGTTATGATTATGTCCGATCAATACGAGAAAGGTCACGGAGGTTAATATAAAACAAATGGGTTAATTCTTATTTTGGCCAACAAAGGGTTTTAATGACAAATCTACTTGGCTGGTAAAAAGGGTCTTATAACAGGGGTTGCATGCACTACCCTAACAACACATACACACACACACACACTCACATAGTTAGTGTATGTCGTGTACTACAGACCTACACAATAGCTTGTAAAATGCCTGTAAAACCTGTAGCAGCAGTCATGTACATTCTGTAGTGCCTTGTATTTGGGATACAGGAACTACAAGTTGTACACCATTATTGTAGCTAGCACATGAAGGTATTATGAAATTACTACTCTGGTTCACAGACCCCGCCCTCCTCAGGCGAGGAAGAGTATCTAGTGACTACAGAGCCATTCCTCGATTTTGCTAAGTTTGGAGAGAGATTTCAGTATGCAATTTGCTGTGAAATGGAATATACACAGATATTACGCAACTACATAAGATGCAGAAACAAAACTAACCATCCTGCGCACCGTTCACAAGCAACAATTTAGCACGGCCAAATACACTTCGCTAGTATTCATCAAAACCTTTCTTAGCCCGAGGGCGGAAAATGTGCATAGGACACTATAAACACACACACGCGCGCACACACACAGTAGCTGGTAGGCCTACATCGTCCAACGAGGTCTCTCCTGTAATTACGACACAGAAACTACATACTGAGTTGTGGAGTAAACAGAGGGTTAACACTATTTACATGAAAGACTTACAGATCCAACAGCAGTTTTGTAAGACTGTCCGTCACTAAAACAAGGTCTGCAACATGCAGCTAACCCCCTGTAGACACGTTGGCTGGACTGCATGTAAACAAGTGGGTTGTAGGGAGGGGTCTATTGGCTTCCTGTGCTACATAGCTATATCCCCTATATAGCTGTAGATTGCTGGCCCACTACCAATGATATACAGTGGTTTAAGGACACCCCTGAAATAAGGACACCTCTGTAATAAGAGAGAGAGGAGAGGGAGAAGGGAGGGAGTGTTCCATCAATAAAGACGCTAAGAGGGAGATGGTAAAGAAGAGAGAGGGGGGAGGGGGAGAAAGCTATAGCCTCAAAGTGAGTGAGAAAACAGAGTCATTATCAGGTAGTCAAGGAAACTGAGGTGATTAATTGACTGGGATGCCTAGGAGACGTGGTATTGATGCACAAGTACCGTTTGTTGGTCAAGAGAGCGTTCTAGACAGAGGGAGGAAGAGAGGGGAGGGGATAGGTTAAAAAACAGCCACAAACTCAAAAGGGGTCGTAAATTTCTATAATGGAAGGCGGGGTTAGTTGCCGGGTTACTATAGAGATGAGGCAGGACGTTGTTTGTCGGCCAGAGTTAGAGGGTGAAAGAGGAGGGGGGAGTCTGAAGAGATGAATTGGAGATTTGAGGTGAATCATTCCCATGGAAACAGGCTTGATTACACGTGAGAAAGCAGAGATAAGGAGGGGGGAGGGAGAATGGGAAAGTAGCATGCATGGAAGTGGGAATAGTCTGAAGGCTATCAATGCAAAAGTAATTTTCCGTGGTGCTCAGTATACAATACAGCAAAGGAAAGTGGTCTGTGGACCAGAGACTAAGTATTGACACACACACACAATGACTCTTTGTTAGTAAATTTATAAGTATATAGACACATACAAAGTACAGGTTTTATTGGTATTGGTATAATTCGAAAGCCTACAAATGACAACTGTAAGTAGATAGATCACAAAGGTGAAAGAGAGAGAGAGAGAGAAAGCCAAGCAAATCACCGACAAGCATCAAAGAGAGAACTATAAAATCGATTTTGGGTACAGGACAAGGTCGTTGCCAGGGAAACAGGGTTCAATTGGATACAAATAACTCTTGTATTGCAAAAGAACTCCAATTTGCAAGGAGACTAGACCTACCACTATATAGATTGACTGACTGACTTCCTGCCTATCAATACTGACCCCTTGTAGAGAGACAGCAACAAGAACAGGTTCTAAACAAAGACCCATGTTATGTGACCCATTTCCTCCAACTGTAGCTTTAGGCTTTGTATACATGAGAAGGAAGTGCGTGTTTCTCTTAGCAACAGCAATAGCAAAAGAACTCCAATTTGCAAGGAGACTGGCCTATTGACTGACTTCCTGCACCCAATACTGACCCCTTGTAGAGAGACAGCAACAAGAACAAGTTCTAAACAAAGACCCATGTTATGTGACCCATTTCCTCCAACTGTAGCTTTAGGCTTTGCATACATGAAGTGCGTGTTTCTCTTAGCAACAGCAATAGCAAAAGAACTCCAATTTGCAAGGAGACTAGCCTATTGACTGACTTCCTGCATATTCCTGCATAATTTATTATCAATACTGACCCCTTGTAGACAGCAACAAGACAGATACAATAGCAAAAGAACTCCAATTTGCAAGGAGACTAGACCTACCACTATATAGATTGACTGACTTCCTGCACCCAATACTGACCCCTTGTAGAGAGACAGCAACAAGACAGATACAATAGCAAAAGAACTCCAATTTGCAAGGAGACTAGACCTACCACTATATAGATTGACTGACTTCCTGCACCCAATACTGACCCCTTGTAGAGAGACAGCAACAAGACAGATAACAAACACTCATGTATGTGACTCACTTCCTCACTTAGGCTTTGCATGCACCAGAAGGAAGTTTGTTTCTCTCTTTTGGGGCCCCTTGGGAGTTGCTCCATGGCAAACCTCTTGTTGTGGCCACAGCCATACTTCCTTTGTGTCCGGCCAATGGAGCAGAGGAAGAAAGTGTCCGTATTAGTGAGGTGTGCTTATTTCAGGGGTTAAAGAACTGTTCTTGGGGAAAGAAAAGGTGTCCGTATTAGAGAGGTGTCCTCATTTCAGGGGTTAAAGAACTGTTCTTGGGGAAAGAAAAGGTGTCCTTATTAGAGAGGTGTCCTTAGAGAGGTGTCCTCATTTCAGGGGTGTTCTTATTAGAGAGGTGTCCTAATTTCAGGGGTGTCCTTATTAGAGAGGTGTCCTCATTTCAGGAGTGTCCTTATTAGAGAGGTGTCCTCATTTCAGGGGTGTCCTTGGAGAGGTGTCCTCATTTCAGAGGTGTCCTTAGAGAGGTGTCCTCATTTCAGGGGTGTCCTTAGAGAGGGGTTCCACATAGAGATGTTACGAATTTCCTCAGCTGATGACATCACCAACTAATAACAGGGTTCCACTCCTCAGGTGGTGCACCCAGTGGTAGCCAATGACAACAGTGGTTGCCAATGACAACACAGGTCAGCCTATCAGCCTAAATTTCCCACCACAGAGGCCAGGCTGGCATGAGAAGGACAATGCCATAGGAGGTTGCAGGAGTAAGCTCCAGGGCCAAACAGGATGCATGATATAGCTGCCTACTTTTCATTGGTGAGCTAAGCTAGCCTACATACCTAGTCAGCTGGCTGAATACAGGATTTCCCCCCCATTCAACAGCTGTAACCATACCTTAATCATAATAATATTATGTAATTCTAAATAAGCAAAGTCACTGAAATTTCAAACTTGCGTTTGCTCATCAAAAAAGTGTAACGAGAGCCCTCCTGGTCTTTTTTGAATGCGAAATATTTTTTCCGTATGTGTCAACAAAGTGAGGTAGCAGAGGTGGAGGCAAACAAGTCAACTACACCCAAGGAAAAAAGAAGATCTGCCCTGGGTGGGATTCGAACCCACGACACTCTGCAGTCTAGAGGTACAGGCAGTTGTAAGAAGGAATGGAGAAGTAGCTGCAAGAAGAAGTGCTTGCTTGGAACAATCAGCAGTGTGTAAACCATTCCTAGTGTCACACTCAGACAAGCCACTTACCAATTTCCCAGTCAAAAGAGACAGATAACAGAGAAGCTACTAACAGTATTGATTACCAAGAAAACTTTCCCATCTTTGTATTGAGGGCTAGATGAGGCCCCAACTGCATTCCTTTGGCTAAGGGCAATGCACACTGACTGAGACGCTCTGACTGGGTACTACTGTTGCTAGGGCAACTGTTGCCATGGAACCTGAACACAAAAGGCCTGAGGTCATGTCAGCTTTAACCACAGGCAGTTCAAGCAGTACTGGGGAATCATGTACTTAGTCTGAATTTTAACCCTTAGCAAGCCACTTGCATAATATATTATACATGCCCACAAGTGCATAAGAATTTATATGGGGCCATAATACTAAGTAGGCATTAATATGTTATATATACATCAATTAAAGGAGATACCCATGGCATCCAAAGGGCACGAACTGTTCTTGGGGGAAAGAAAAGGTGTCCTTATTTGAGAGGTGTCCTCATTTCAGGGGCGTCCTTAGAGAGGGTTGTCTTGCTAATAATAATATACTCACTTCCTGTCTACACCCAATTAACAAATCAAGGACGCAACAACTTTCTCTTACTTCCTGCACACCAATCCAGGGGTTCCTGAACACTAAATTTGTTTTGAGCCGGTCCCCCACTTCCTGCCCCCCCAGCATTACATAATGTGTGTACATAACTCAGTAGTACACAACAAATTGTCAGCTGGCAGATGTGAAAGAATGTGTCACTTGCCACACTGTCAATAACTATGGAATTGAGTATGACGTAATGATGATGTAATGCTCACCGGACAGACTCCGCAGGGTATGCGGCTGAGACCAGTGTCGGAGACGAGAGGTCTGGACAGTCTGAACACCGTCGTCGCGGCAACCTCTCTCCCTCCTCCTCCTCCCATCACTACTGAAGACTCCGCCTTACCATCATAGACCAGGGTGTTTAATATCGTCTCTATGTTTTCCGGTGTTAGAGCTACCTGCAATAATAGAGTGAGGGTGTGTATGCATTACATCATAGTGATGTAATATGTATTACGTCATAGTGATGTCATAAGAGAATCAAGTATTTCTAATATCCTATGACACACAGCGGAAGAGCTTCTGAATGTCTATAGAGCCATTACATCACAGATAATTTCCTCCATACATTACAATGGTGACCGATGATGTCATGCTCAACCAACCCCTATACCAATCGCTTACATCATCACCATACATTTTAAAGGAGAGAGATGATGTAATGGCAGCTCACCCGACTGATCCCCAGCTCGGTGATGAACTTGCAGACCTCCTGAGGCGACGCGTAAGATGCTGACTTCTTAGAGAGAGGGTCACTGTTAGAGGACTGAGCTTTGAACGACTTCAGGGAAGGAGAGAGAGAGAGAGGGGAGGGAGAGGAAGAGGGAGGAAGAGAGAGGGGGGAGGTAGAGAGAGAAGAGAGGAGAGAGAGAGGAAGGCAATGATAAGTAAAGCAGAAAGAAGTGCTAGGAGGAGGCAAATGTAAAGCAGTGTGTGCTGAACCAGTTGGTATTGCTATTTGCCAGTCTTGTTGCGCATGGTGGCAGAAAACATGGTAACAGACACACATGCGCACGAACCAAGTACTGTAACCCTCGCTGCACATGTGCGCCGAGGGTTAATAACCCCTTTCCTCTAACACACAAACAACCAACATCCAAACCCTTCCCTCTATGCGATAACTTCACCGCACACTGCAAACTGACCTTGACCGACCTCAACACTACCTGCAAAAAACCCAACACAAAAACCCCCCACACACCCCCCACAACCCCACCCCCCCCACACCACCCCCCACCACCCACACCACCCCACCCCCCAAACCCCCCCCCCCCCCCCCCCACACAACCAAAACACAAACACCACCCCACCCCACCACCACACCCGTCCGCCCCATGACCAGCACCTCCCAATCACCCGACTATGTGCGAGTTACGCCCGTACGTATCGTCAAATCAACCTCCTTTCCTTATGACCATTAACGCGATTCTCTAGACCGCCTACGCCCAGTCGCCCGTTGAGGGAGGGACACAGGGATAGAGATCCCGCGCACTCGGTAGACGTCTGAGTTCCCCGCAGGACTGTAACCGCTTTGGAGTATGGGGTAGCGGGAGGAGAGGAGAGGAGAGGAGAGGAGAGGAGAGGGAGAGAGCAGGAGAGAGGAGAGGAGAGGAGAGGAGAGCGGAGCGGAGAGGACGAGGAGAGGAGAGGGAGGCGAAGAGCATGAGAGAGGCGAGGAGACGGACTCAGGACGAGGAGAGGAGAGGAGAGGGAGGGAGGGAGGGAAAAGAGGTTGAAGTTGCACACACTAGCAAAAGAAATGAACAGAACAAGAACCAATAAGAAAAGACGCAACTGCATAATTTTGGGGAAATCTCAGAGGTCAAAATGAAACAACAGTAGAGGAAAAACGGCAAAAGTGAAAGAAAGAAGAGCAGAAAAAACGATGAAAGTAAGAGAAAAAGTTATAAAGTGAGTGTTGGCCGACCTTTCTCCTGGCAGCCTGTACAGATCTGACACTCTTGATGAGTTTCTTGCTCTCCAGCGTCTTGAGGCACCGAGTCACTTCACTCTGCGCTATGTTCGACCTGCGGACATCGGAGAAGAACGCTCACTCCACGTTTTTATGAAAAGTCGAGGTGTCTGGGAGGTGAGACAGACACCTCATGTTCACATGGTGTATGTTCGTTTGCTAACGGTTCCGCCCATTGCTCTGGGTGCGTGGTCTATGGCCCTAGTGCTATGGCAGCCACCTGAGTATTACGAAACTGTTTGCAGACACTTTAGGATTGAGGATCCAAAACTTTTGAAACATTGAAAAGTGTCTTTTTTTTCGATTTTCAAAGTGGGCCTTATTTAGAGATATGAGGCAAAGCCAAGTGCGTTAATAGAGGCGTGCTGAAGTGGAATAGGCACTAGAATACCACTAGAGTAACCAGAAGATTGCGTTCAGAATGTAAAATACGAGACTTTCTCGCGGCCCCAGACCTGAATCTGATCTCCCTCATCCAGATTCCTTTGTTTCCTGAATCTTCTATCAGCTGGTAGACCAACCTCTGCTCCCTCTCTAGTCCCTTGGTTTTACTGCAGGAGTGAGGGAGGGAGGGAGGGAGGGAGGGAGGGAGGGAGAGGAGGGAGGGAGGAGGGAGGGAGGGAGGGAGGGAGGAGGAGAGGAGGTAGGGAGGAGGGAGGGAGGAGGGAGGGAGGGAGAGGGTGGAGCATAAATGCAGCATGTTCTATTTTTTAAGTAAGGAAGGAGAGAGAAAAGCAAATTCTCATAAAACATGGGAATAAGAGGGGAGGAAGGAGCATTACTTGCAGTATGTTCTATTCTATATAAGACAATCCAAGGATGGAAGGAGAGATACACCTCAACACAATCGTTTTCAGTTTCAACGTTGCCCACCCACCTGCTGGGTGTTGATGACGTGGCTTTGAGTCTGTAGACAAGACTGTGTCCCTGTTTTAGCAGCTCTATCTTGCCCTGCGAGGAGGGAGAGGGGGAGAGAGAGAGAGTAACGAAAAAATGAGGTAGGAAGAAGAAATTGAACAGGAGAAGGGAGTAAAGAGAGATGTGGAACATGAGAAATAGGAAAATGGTGTGAGGTATATACCCCATGTTCCCTCCACCAATTCCAATAAGAGCACACCGTGAATTCCAATAAAAGCCCACCCACACACCTGCGACAGGAGTCGTTGCAATGCTCTCAATCTCTTCTCCACATCAATGGTCGGTTGATCCTGGACAATGATGTCGTCGGTTATCCCCTTGGAATTCTGTGCACAGAGGGTTAAAATCCTCTCCTCCAGTCCCAGGGGGTCACGAGGGGTCGTGCCTGGTGGAGTGGTGCCGGGGGTGAAGGAGGGAGGGAGGGATGGGGGAGGCGGGGACTGGGCTTCTTGCTTCACTGCCAGCTGAGCTACCGCCATCTTTGTGAGTCCCCTGTGTCTGCTGCGTTGCTTCTGAGGAAAACCAGGGTTCAGAGCTGGTGACTAGTATTCATTTTCCCTTACCTGGCTCTGAACGTGAGGATCCTACACGCAGCTACAGCAGCGAAGAAGAACGGTCTAGCGCGCTTCGCTTCCAACCGACAACTGCCACGTGGAGACTTTGCGCATGCGGGTAACGAATGGGCGTGAGGGTGTGGCGGCTAGAAAAAGGGGGGGAGTCACGAAACTGTGGCGTAAGGACATGTTTATCTCTCCGATCGTGGCGCCGTACGCGGCTGTAATCTTCTGAGTTTCAAGGCAAGTTGTTGGGTTCAAGCTAGATACTACATAACATTGGGAAGGTAAATGGAGGTAGGTAATTCCCGCATCAGAAGTTACCCCCATTTACCTTATTGAGGTAAACAAGGTAGTGATTTCGCCCAAATACAAGGTGGGGGCGTGTGTTGCCATTGCCAATGTGCCTGCTGAACTAAATTTAAATTGAAGCTTCAGTGACTGTGGAGCGTTCATTAACCCTCGGTGCGCATGCGCAGCGAGGGTTACAGTACTTGTGTCTGTGTGTCTGTTACTCTATATCTCACTCCTCGAACGTCTGTTCGTCCCAGGAACGATACCATCTACCCAACGGGCGACGAAGGTCAGAAAATAAAGGCGGTTTTCTCTGAAAATGCTCCGTTGCAAAGCTAGAGCACGAAAATGCCAATATGCAAATACACAACGGACGGGATGGCTTACCACAGTCGGATCGATCCGCTTGCTCTGCCTACTTCGGATGCACCAGAAGATGCAACGCAGGGCGTGTATCGCCTCTCACATGCTATCTAGTAGTGTAGTTAGCCCGCGTCAGACTCTGCGCGAGCTGGCAAGAGACCACGAGTAACAGCTAAAACTAAACCCAGCCCATCAATTAGTGGTACGGCGCATGCGTTTACTTACGCGTGCGCGTCACAGTGCGCCGAGGGTTTGCACTTCAGTGCTTTTCATTTGGTTTGCATTTGGCACAACAGTGTTGAGACACACCCCTTTTTGTTACAGTACATTATTCATGCAAGTGCTCTATAGGTGGCATAGTGCCATTATGAATATTAACCAAGTATATACCTGACTATGAATCATACAGGTTAAGAGTCATGGTTGTTTAGGTGCTCTGTGTTCGCAATACAGGTCTACCAACAAAGGTGTTTTTTAGCTGAGGCTGTTTGTGCTCTCCAACGTTGTCTGATTTTCTCTCTCAGTAATGGCTGAAGGTAGGATGGTTAGATAGCAATAGAGACTGGAGCTGCAGCTCATGGTTCCCACTGGCAACCAATACATACAGCTCCTGCCATGGACGACAAGACTCTGAGACCAGGCGATGCAAGGAAGATATTTGAGGAACTGCTGCCTGCACAGAACAAGTCGTACATGTTAGGTCTGGCGCTAAAATTGCCACTTCCCATAGTCGAGGCCATTCATTCGCAGTATCAAAACCCACGACATCGCCTTTTTCACGTTATTATCAAGTTCCTGGAGCAAGCGGAGCCCAGACCGACATGGAGGGACATTGTAGAAACCCTCAATAGTCGTGCAGTCAACCTACCAGACCTAGCTAGGAGAGTGGAAGCAGCTCATTGCCCTGACTCTATTACAACCTCTTCATCACCCCAAGGTAAGGTTACCACAGTAATTGCTAGCTGTTACTACTCCTCCACCACAGGTCCTCGGCGTCTCATTCCTGCTTCAGTTGCAGCTCATGGTTCCCACTGGCAACCAATACATACAGCTCCTGGCATGGACAAGACTCTGAGACCAGCCGATGCAGAGGAGATATTTGAGGAACTGCTGCCTGCACAGAACAAGTCTCTTGAGTTGGGTCTGGCGCTAAACATGCCACCTCCCGAAGTCGAGGCCATTCATTCGCAGTATAAAGACCCACATGATCGCCTTCTTCGCGTTATTATCAAGTTCCTGGAGCAAATGGGGCCCAGACCGACATGGAGGGTCATTGTAGAAGCTCTCAGGAGTTGTGCAGTTGGCCTACCAGGTATAGCTAGGAGAGTGGAAGCAGCTCATTGCCCTGACTCTATTACAATCTCTTCATCACGCCCAGGTAAGTTGACCACAGTAATTGCTAGCTGTTACTACTCCTCCACCACAGGTCCTCGGCGTCTCATTCCTGCTTCAGTTGCAGCTCATGGTTCCCACTGGCAACCAATACATACAGCTCCTGGCATGGACAAGACTCTGAGACCAGACGATGCAGAGGAGATATTTGAGGAACTGCTGCCTGCACAGAACAAGTCTCTTGAGTTGGGTCTGGCGCTAAACATGCCACCTCCCGAAGTCGAGGCCATTCATTCGCAGTATAAAGACCCACATGATCGCCTTCTTCGCGTTATTATCAAGTTCCTGGAGCAAATGGGGCCCAGACCGACATGGAGGGTCATTGTAGAAGCTCTCAGGAGTTGTGCAGTTGGCCTACCAGGTATAGCTAGGAGAGTGGAAGCAGCTCATTGCCCTGACTCTATTACAATCTCTTCATCACGCCCAGGTAAGTTGACCACAGTAATTGCTAGCTGTTACTACTCCTCCACCACAGGTCCTCGGCGTCTCATTCCTGCTTCAGTTGCAGCTCATGGTTCCCACTGGCAACCAATACATACAGCTCCTGGCATGGACAAGACTCTGAGACCAGACGATGCAGTGAAGATACTGGAGGAACTGCTGCCTGCACAGAACAAGTCGCACATGTTGGGTCTGGCACTAAAATTGCCACTTCCCATAGTCGAGACCATTCATTCGCATTATCAAAACCCACAAGATCGTCTTCTTCACGTCATCATTGCTTTCCTGGAGCAAATGGGGCCCAGATCGACATGGAGGGTCATTGTAGAAGCTCTCAGGAGTCGTGCAGTTGGCCTACAAGGTATAGCTAGGAGAGTGGAAGCAGCTCATTGCCCTGACTCTATTACAATCTCTTCATCACCCCCAGGTAAGTTTACCACAGTAATTGCTAGCTGTTACTACTCCTCCACCACAGGTCCTCGGTGTCTCATTCCTGTTTCACTTTCCTCACAACTAACACTATTATCTTCGAGTAAATTACATTTCATTCCAGATGTATCAATGTTACCTCGGCGGACCTAGCCTGCGGCACTCCCGAAGTTCCTCCCTTCCCCCTCGGCTTTGACCTATGTGCACCCTTCTTATATACTTATCTACCTCCACCAGCCTGTCCCACACCCCCATACTTGTTCGCTCTTTTTCGCACCTCGCGCCGCCCTGCTTCGCTGTCCACATGGGATCCTTCTCCTCCTTGGGACGGGATTCTCCCCAGGGGCGTCATGTCTATACCTGCCACGCAGCAGCACCAGGGCGGGCTCGAGAGCCCAGACCGAGTGTGTCCGTATTACGCCGACCGATCGGAGCGACAATCCACCCCTGGGTGATCTTCTTTCCGGCAACCTATTTTCTGTTCCTGCGTGAGCCCCCTTCCAATCCCCACCTTTGTTCGAACCCCCCTGACGGTCAATCCCTTTAACATCCTTCCCTCGCTCCGCGGCTCGGTCGTGTCCCCGTTACCCTTTAACTCACGGTGGGTGCTGTTAGCCTCTCCCGGTGACTTGTTGTCTGCCTTCGTTCCACTCGCGAGAGATGACTCTTCGGGGTGACTTTTCACTAGGTGGGTCCCACATGTACGACGGCCAGTCTCCGCTGTCTCTGTTTGGGGGGGTTCAACCTTTTTGGTGGTGTGGGGCTGAGGTGAGGGGTTAGGATAGTTCAGGCCGTGAAGTTGAAGAGATGATTTTGATGTTAAATAAAAGATTTCACAGGCTCAAGAACACTGTCAGAGATGGTCTGGTGGAACATAAAGTTCATGTGAAGAGAGTAGTGGATGCTCTGACCTCATTCCCAGCTGAGGATGACGACTACCGCATGGTTTTCTTACAGAATCATATTGGCGATCTCTTCAAAGTAGCCGACAATTTTGACCTGTTCACAACTATGAATTTCCACTGGAAATACTTTGATCCCAGTCTACTGGAAACTATCACTAAGTACGGTAGTACTTAGTATAATAGAGTCCCGTAGCGTTATGTCCATACATTAATTCTTACTTTCAATTTCGATCAGATTAAACTTCTGACAAATAAATCGAATCCGTAATACCCGTGTATCGAAAAATGGTTTAAACCAGATAATTCATCTATTCAAGGAAGTTCATTTTCAGAATTCTTGTTCTAAAAAATAGGGCTTGCAATGTAAAAATGATGTATATAGCATTGTATAACATTCACCAGATCCCTGTATTGTCTCCTTGTTATCATCCCTACATTCACCATTTTTGATATTTTTTCCTTGTTAGAGAGTTTGAGGAGGTGGTGGAGGTCAAAGCTCAGATGGAGGCCTACAAGTCAGATTTACGCCAATTCCGAATGAAGACACCGTTAACTCTATTCTGTCATACACAGAAGAGAAAAAGAATTAACATTTCTCTAGAATTCCAGCAAATGGTTGCTGAGTTTGAGTGGCCAGAGACTGTAACACTGGAAGATGTGGAACAGTTTCGACAACAGTATGCTTATGAATACAACTTACAGCAGTGCACCCTGATGGTTGCAAAATTTCTAGATCTTGGTTTGTGCCACTTTGCATAGTAGACTGTATGACTATTGTGGTGTATATAAACTCTTATAGAATCTTCCAAGCCCCAGGATCTGCATTCCCCATCGAACTTCCCTTGTAAGAACATCTTTACTCGCCCAATATAGTTATGCAATGGTAATTCTATTACAGGTACTTCTTCGGTCGTTACACTTCAGAAAGATGAAAAGAAAGTTTCTAAAAAATCAAAAATCCTCAGGTTACTGTGGTGTCTATAAGTGTGCTGGCAACTAACTGATTAACCCTCGGCGCGCATGCGCAGCGAGGGTTACAGTAGTTGGGTTTGTCTGTCTGTTACTCTCAATCTCACTTCTCGAATGTCTGTTCGTGTCACAAACGATACAACCTACTTAACCGGCAATGAAGGTCAGAAATTTCGAACGGTTTTCTCTGAAAATGCTCCGTTGCTAAGCTAGAGCGCTTCCAGCATTGTATGGCAAATGCCTGTAGTCGCCATTTTATCGCTGGCGGTTAATGCGCATGCGCTTATAATTAGCACAGGACCGGGTCCGCTTGCTCTGTCTATCTTAAAGGCACAAGAAGTCACAACGAGTGTCGTGTATCGACTATCGCGTGCTATCTACAACTGTAGCTAGCCCGTGTCAGACTCTCTGCGAGCTACTTCGCCGAGGGTTTGCACTTTAGTGCTTTTCATTTTTTTCTGTTTCAGTGAAGAAACATCAGCAGAAACCACCGCTTTCACAAAGCATTCATCAGCAGATAACATCCTGTTTGTTGAGCAGCCAGCTGAAGACTTCTTCTGTCCAGTCACAACTGATTTTCTGCTCCAGCCTCACCTCACGTCATGCTGTGGTAAACACCTATCAGAGGAAGCCGTTTTAAAGACGAATAAAGCGTGTCCCCTGTGCAATGATCCAAAGTGGAAGACAGTTTTGGACAAGCGCTTCCAGCGTCAAGTGAATTCACTACGTGTGTTCTGTCGTCACGGGGACAGAGGGTGTGGCTGGCAGGGAGAGCTGGCTGCCCTTGATCGTCACATCATGTCCTGCTCCATGAAAGACGCTCCACAAGTAGAAGAACAGCCAACACTTCACGCGTAAGTGTGTACAGTGTAAAATGTAAACCAAAATGTGTATTAATTGTGACATTGAAAACTTCTGGAATCATAGCATATTTCCAACCACAGGAATAAAGATAACAAGATCATTGTTGCGGGTGTTTCTATTTTCATGAGGCAATATTTTTGGTACACTGGAAAGCAAATGGACTTCATCTGGGAAGAAGCCGGCATCAGTCTGCATTTCCCTGCCGCTCGCTGCATGAGAAGCATACAAATTTCCGTTGGAATCTTCACAGACCTCGAACAAAATTGTATGATACCTCAGCGATATCAGCTCATGCCTAGGGCAAGTTCGACATATGAGATTAAATCAAGTGCCCCGCTGCCTGCTCCAGTCAGAGTGAGGATAGAACACTGTGGAATTGTAGAGAAAGAAAACTCTTTGGTCCATATGGTAGCACACGGTGATGCCCCCTACCAATTTAAACCTTTGCACGGTGGACATTTTCCACTGAATAAATCATATGGGGAAATAGAAATGGCGGAATTTTGCCTTTTGACGATTCTGTATAATATTCTTGATACCAAAATGATGTTAGCTGTTTTTGTTGCTCACCTGAAGGAAAACAATACCATACACTTTTTAGTAACAAAAAACACTCCAGCAAACCATACGGCTGTACAAAACAAGTACACAAATGCAAGTCTTCAACCACCACATACCAAGCGGTACTTCTACGGAACAACTGAAATTTCACTTTCAATACCAGAACTTTCTCCTGAAGTGTCGCCACCCCGGGTTTACAGGACTGGTATTTACTGACCAAGTTGAAAACGCCCAGTTAATGA